GATTGGTAATTCAAATAAAAACAATAGTGTTGGCTTACTTTATTTGTTTTACTTTAATCTAATATTTATCAGGCAAAAACAAAAGGTCATGACCCTAAATGAAAACACCATTCCCATAATTAGGAGAATGCCACAGTGAATATTACAAAAATTAACGCCCTAATCCTAATCTTAACTAAAATGTTCTATTTCGAGTGGACTTCAAGTCTACATTTACGCCCTCGCGATAATGAAGAATTCCTGGAATTGTGCCCAGGGTTTCGAAGTAACCAGTTCACACTGTTTTTCCCTGCATTCGGCGGACAGCACAACCAATGCGAATTAGGATAAAATAATTGTAAAAATCCTACCTTGGACAGCTTCTCACAGAGGTGTTGTTTTTAATTTTCAACTACTAGAAATATATGTGGACTCTTCACCACCCACATACATTAATTAACAGAACCTGTTGATTATAATTCGTTGCACTGAGATAATTTTGTTTCGGCATTACACTGCCCTTCTTAACGTATCGGCAGGTACTCACCGACTACTCGACAATCGTACCCTAAACATATTCCCTTTTCCTCGCGTCAGCGTCTGGTTCACACACATGGGCATGGGATGCACAACAATTGTTTGTTTTCACTATATTAGAAATAACACTTATATTTACAGTACATGGTATCGTGAATTACGAGATGGAATAATTCAGCTTCGGCACAAACCGAAGATGAAGAAGTCTCTAAAACCTCATCATTCGATGGGATAACTCGTCATCTGGATATTGAAATTCTCGTGTATTGTTGAAATTTTGAAGGTTCAAAATGGAACATAACTTTCAAGACTGTCAACGACCACATATTTATGATTTTTAAATTTGAAGATTAAATCCAACATTTATGCCACTTGAATACAAATTTCCAAACTGCGACTATACAAAGAAATGAAGTGAGTTTGATGAATAATTTAACAGTAGGTTCAACTTTTAAAAATATCGAGAATGGTGTTTTTGAAGAAAGCTAAGAAACCAGGACAATTTGACTCGAATAATTATTTCGGATAATAATACTGTCGTGAATCATCCCCTAAAAAAAGAAAACGCCGTCCGCCGCTGGCAGTCCTAAAACAATCGTGACATGGCCAAGATCACGCCTATCTTGGCCGGCGTTTTGCGTTTGTTCTAGCTTTCGCGTCATTTAATGGACTTCTGGCGAATTCCTTATCACCTTCGAGGTACTTCGATTGCCATATATAAACGGTACCCACGTACATATCCAGTAATCAAGTCAAGTTCGGCGGACAGTATGGTACAGATCGATCTAATAGGGCGATAGACATTTGAATATTGGTGGAAGTTCCAAACAAGTGTTTGGTTGTATCATCAGTGAAATAAAGTAAGGTTTAATTATTGTACAGTGAAGTCAATTATTGTCAAATCCAAGGGAAAAACGTAACAATAACAATGTCTCGAATACAAGTTGTTATTGTACTATGCGAAATGAGTTCTATGGTTCAATAATACGTACGGCGACACCAATCACTAATAAAACACATGCCTCTCAGAAAAATACTTCTAGAAGGCCTGAGGAAGCAATTGTATATTGAAATACATGTAATGATTTTGTAAAACTGTTTAGTGAAAATCTCACAATAAATTGTTACTTGAATACGTTATTTTGACATGTTCGTTCGTAAAAGCGATATACATGAGCGATCTCGGTGGAGATATACTATTTATTGTCAAAGTATTTATTTTGTTAACATGTTGGAAGTCTCAGATCTCAGCCTAGAAATGGCAACGGTTCTAATTTGGAATTTGTCTGTACACTGGAGCATGCTGAGATGCGCTTTAGCAACTTCATTGCCTTCCAGGCCATTGTGGCCGGGAATCCAGACCAGAGTCAATCTGTCAAATCATCCTATCGGGGAGAGTCATTTTTGTCAATTTGCTACCAATTTAGAAGTTGCTCAGTAGGAGCAAAGAACTTCCAACGCCGCTTGACTGTCCGAAAATATTTTCATTTACTTGTGTATGAGGTGGATTGTTTCAATCTCTCCGCACATAATTCAATAGCGTAAATTTCCGCTTGAAATACAGTCCCATAGGTTCCTAGGCAGGTTGATATCTCTGTCATGGGTGTGCGACTGAAAACACCTGCACCAGAACCGAAAGGTGTTTTTGATCCATCTGTGAACCAACAATTATCTGCTCTCATTATTTCCTTCTCCCGGAGAATTCAGTCCTCTCTACTCGGGAACCATACTTCATAAGGCAGTTGGAGAGTAGTTGACAGTTGGAGGCATACAGTCAAAAGTTATTTTCCGTTGGTTCAACCGACTGTTGGTTGACTTCCAGTGTCAACCAACAGTCGATTGAACTTCGCATTAAACTGATTTGTGCAATTGGCAATGTGCACAAGTCTATATGCAGTCCATCTAGCCTGTCTCTCCAGAAAAATGTGAAGAGGAGGTAGATCTAGAAGGATTTCTATGGCCACTGACAGTGTGATACTGATGGCACCACTGTTAGCCAGACAAGCCTGTCTGTGTAAGCCAGAGAGTTTCTCCTGGGCCGATTTCTGTAAAGCCTTCGGCCACCAGGCAATTGCACTATAAGTGTTCGTTGATCTCAACAATCATTACATAAATCAATCGAATTTGTTTGGGTCCTAAATTCCAAGTTCCACCACGAATGCTTCGACATGTCCAAGGGACAGTTCGGACACTGGTGATACGGGAGGGAACTGCCAATAGAAGAACTTTTCCGTCCTAGAAGTGTGACGGATCAAATGGGAAGGTTCCTCAAGAATCATGGAATTGGGGCCATTTTCAAGTCCACAAGAACGACAAAGAATAGTCTATGGTCAGCAAAAGACCCCAGGAATCCATCACGTACCCTAGGAGTATACCAAATACCGTATAGTTGTGGTTCATTTTGCATCAGGAACACAAAAAAAAGCGTTGAAACACGTTTGACTGAGGAAAAAAAGTTACCAAAATGGTCAATCACGTTCACGTTCTCTCAGAGGGCAGCCATAACATTACCTTCAATGGCACGCAAGTTCTTGATAGAACCAGAGAGTAATATCTGAGGCTATTCAGAGAAGTCAGAGAAACATTCAAATATGAGGATTATTTCAACGTTAAAAAAAGAGCTTCTACAAGACATGGGTACGGCACTTCATAGCACAAAAATTCTTCAAATAATTTACAATTACAATTACAATTTACATAGTCTGCTATGTCCAGCCTCATTCCAAGCGGTGTGGGTGGACATTTTTGTTCATCCACAGCTACCGCCTTAGATTGAGGTGAGCACTTCTGTCCAGTTTCGAGTTTCGGGATTGGTTTTCGTTTTTGTTGTTTCTGTTTTTGTATTGTTTCATTCATGTGTGTTCCCACGAGTAGCAAGGAAAGAGTTGGTCACCTCAGGTAGAGACCTGCGTTACCAGAGGTAGGCTGATTACAATGAGGTTTCGCACAGGGGGATCGTCCGTGACCACATATCACCCTGCGGTCATTCAGCTGTCGGCACCATTCCTTACACCTCAGCTTGTGTAGGTTGGTCCACGGTGGTATGTTTTGCAAAGGCTTTTGGGGGGTTTTAGTTCCCCTCACCCTACCTATTTCTGCCACTGATCAGGAGTCCGGCGACCCCATCTCTAAGGCCACATTGGCTTCCCAGATAGGGCCTACAGTCCCCTGGTTGTTACCCTATACGCCACCTGGGGACGCGCCTGATAGGTAGCCCAACCCGCGGGTTAGAATCCATACTGATTAACAGATTAGAATGAAAAGTGTGCATGAATCAACTATTAGAATGTAACCTGTAACCATGTCTTTCTTGATCAAGTTCGGCTATATCTCGACTCCAGCATAGTCCATTTTATATTTCGAGAATACAGTGGAAGTCAACTCAAAACCTTGTTAATAGGTTCGGAAACAGAACAAAATTCACCTACTTCGATAAAAAGGGAAAAATATTAAAATATTCCGCATATTCATCGATACTCAACTACGAGTATCATTCCGAGACATCAAATACTCCCACACTTGACATGATATTCTATCCATCCCATTTCAGTATCAACTTTTCAATAGTACGAAAAAAAATTGTATAGTATGCGCATAACTGTATTAGAGCATTTCCTCACCAATTATTTTTTTGAAGGTATCGGTGCAACAACAGAAAGTGGTCTAACTCCTCTCCATGTAGCTAGTTTCATGGGTTGCATGAACATTGTAATCTATCTACTACAACACGATGCCAACCCAGATGTTCCGACTGTTAGAGGAGAAACTCCATTACATTTAGCCGCCAGGGCTAATCAAGTGAGGATGATCCTGCTGAGTTCAAGATATATTTGTTACTAAATTATTTTCTTTCAGACCGATATCATACGTATCTTACTTAGAAATGGTGCTCAAGTTGACGCAAGGGCTAGAGAACAACAAACTCCTCTCCATATAGCCTCACGACTAGGAAATGTAGACATAGTCATGCTACTTCTCCAGCATGGTGCCAAAGTTGACAATGCTACCAAAGACATGTACACCGCTCTCCACATAGCATCTAAGGAAGGCCAGGATGAGGTGAAAGAAAATTATTTTTCTTGTATGTATCTTATGCTATCAATTCAATTTGGTTTTTTCAGGTAGCGGCTGTGCTGCTCGACAATGGAGCCTCCTTGGATGCCACAACGAAAAAGGGTTTCACTCCTCTTCATTTGGCAGCCAAATACGGTCACCTCAAAGTGGCTAAACTACTTCTACAGAAAGAAGCTCCTGTGGATGCTCAGGGCAAAAATGGAGTTACTCCATTACACGTTGCTTCCCACTATGACCATCAGAGTGTAGCTCTACTTCTTTTAGATAAAGGTATAAACATTTCCACTATCTCAGTTTTGTGTGCTCCTTGATATTATATCATTAGGTTGTTTCAGAAGTTTTGTCCGTTTTAAGGTTATGTGTTTATTTTGCTCCAGTTGTCGATAAATGTTCATTCTACTGTGTCTTGGTATATGCTGATCGATAGGGAATTTTAATGCTGATTATTTTTTCCAAATTTTATATTTTTGACACTTTTCAGCCCATCGATATAAAATGTCATCAGGCGATTTTCAGCCAAATTTTCTCTACGGATTCAATTTTAACCAAAACGCTGCCAAAACAGCCCGACGTTGGTTTGCAAAATTCATTTCAGCCTCAAAGATGAACCCCAAAATGGTTGATTTTCAAGACGAGGATTTGAGAATGAGGACATTGAGACTGACCCATGTCTTCATCCGAATCTAGTTTCTTTTGCTTTGACGCAAAAGGAAATAAATCGCATATTAGAATAATACACTTTTTGTCATTTTTCTTTTCCTTTATTTGTTTTTTTTCACTGAATATATGTTACAACAGCAGCAGCTACTTGCTGAGACGACATTTTTCTGAAAGTCTGTGTTACTCAAGCAAACGAACTTGCTAGAGTAAGTTGTCGCAATGAATTTCAAAACAATTAGACTACAGTGTAGACACGCAGGCAAGCACTTGGTGAAAAAACTTCCGCAAGTTACTTGCGAGTGGACACGATACGATACGATATACGATATTCATCTTGAGTTTGTTCAGGTTTGAAGCCTGGCTCCCTTCCCCTCTTAACTGGTGTTTGTCAGAAAGACAAACGAGTCATGACTGGTGTTTGATGGTGGCATGAAAGTCCTCAGACATCCATACCGCCCTTCGCTGTATACCCCTTCCTGGCTGGGGTGAGATGGATGAAGATATTATTCATCTGTTAACGGAGGACATAGGGGCCTCATTCGACAGAGTGTCGGGGCCTTCTATATCGGGAGGGGTCGTCTATAGCTTCCCTGACTAACGGATTTTCGTGAGTTTCAGCGCAATCTAAAACTCGCCGGTTCCTCGACTGGATGGACTGCTGAATGGAAGGCAGCTTCAAATCTCTGCGGATGGCTTCATTCCGCACGAACCACGGAGCATCATCCGTAGAATTTTATTTTGTAAAGTCTCCAAGATGGAGATGTTAGTCGGAGCCGCTTGTCCCCAAACGCCTGAAGCATACATGATGACAGACTTGAACATTATGTTATAGATCGTGATTTTATTCTTTAGGCTCATCTTAGATTTTCTATTGATCAAAGGGTACAGGCTTGCCACCCGACCCTGGATCTTTCTTTGCCTTCACGCAGGTGCGGGTTCCAGGTGAGCCTACGGTCTATAATAAGACCTAGGTACTTGACCCGCGTTTGCCAAGTGGACACGAGGAATGAGAGTGGAGGCTATATGCGGAAGCTACTGAATATATCCGATGCTGGGCCGGAATTTTCTACAGCTGGGGTATGTCACACCCCACGTGTCGGACGCAGGGTTAAGGACAGTGGTTGGGCACCGATGAGCCACCCAAGGCCTTCCCAGAGGCGAAAGGTTCGCTCCTGCTTCTCGACAACGCCCGTCCGCACGCGCTTACTTCGATTGAATTCAATGAGTATCCACTGAGATACTAAAGTTTGAAGTGAACGAAAAGTTCTTCTGAAACCTTGAATTCAGAACCTTCAGGGAAAAAACTTTCCTCTCATAGAAGATGAATAAACTTATCGAAAAAGTATTTTGTCATTCTGTTAACTTCTGTATGTTTGCTAATAATTGATATGAGTATTTTGCTGAATGAGATAAATTCTTATTTTTCCGCACTCTTCTCCTTTTTATGAGATTATTGTGTTGTCGATTTCGGTAATTTCTTCGAACCTATTATCCAATGTTATCGGTGTACGTTTCCAGGGAGGGAATTGACGATTGTTACTGAAACAGTTGTTAGAAAAGGTTTCAGGTTGAATAGCTTTCTGCAAAATGGGAAATAACCTCATTTTCTTCAGTATATGATTAGCAATCAGAATATTGAGTCCTCAGATTGAAAAATATGGAGGCGCCATAAGTAATTTTTTTTCAGGAAGCTAATGGTACCTCTCCCAATCATTTCTTATGTCAATTTGATCATTTAATGAACACTGAAATTCGTTTCTCAAAATACCACAAATATTATTAAAGAGTGAAACAATATGCTCACATGATCACTAATAATTGCTTTCATTTATTAGGTGCTTCCCCACATGCTACGGCAAAAAATGGGCATACTCCACTCCATATAGCTGCCAGGAAAAACCAGATGGACATCGCCAACACCCTACTGGAGTATGGTGCCCAGCCCAATGCAGAAAGCAAGGCTGGGTTCACACCACTACACTTGAGCTCTCAGGAAGGTCATGGTGAAATGTCTGCTCTGCTGGTGGAACATAAAGCTGATCCGAATCATGAGGCGAAGGTGAGAATTTTAAGGCATCAGGTCTGTCTATCCACCGATATGACTATAATTTATTGAGTTGTGGATTTTTATTTGTTTTTGCCGATGAATACCATTACAAATCATACTTACAGTAAAAATGAGTGAAAGACAATGAATTGAACATATAACTGACGAAAGAAAGTTATTTAATATTAGAGTAATTTGGTTTATGTCCTGTTTCTATATAATATTGCGCTAATGCACATGATTTGTTATCAAGCTATATATCACTTTTATGTGAAGTTATTCTATCTGTAAGAATTATAGATGTTGTTCCAATATAATCCAAATTACAATTGTTACAAGGAATGTTGTAAATCACATATATCTTTCATCAATGAAATTGGAAAAAAGGTAACCGATGAAACCCACGAATCAAGAGCCACATCTTTTCTCATTCAGAAAATTAGTATAGCCATCTAAAGAGGAAATACAGCTTCGTTTTTCGGTACTCTCCCTGATTCCAAAAAACTTGATGAAATTTACTTGTTTCCTGATAACCAATTTTATAAAGAAAAGAGAGGTAATAAGAAACCACTTTATGAAGTTCTACTCATTATCTTTCGTCTGTTCCAATCGACATTTCGTCCAGATCTGATACAAGTTTCAGTTTGACACATAACCTCTCTAATATTCATTGTTGTAGGTTCCTGTTATACTATTTTCCTAGAAAACCTTCTCGTAATTTCATTGTTTGCCAAATAATTGGAGATTTTCTTTTCAGAATGGTCTCACTCCCCTCCACCTGTGCGCTCAAGAAGATAGAGTACCCGTCGCCGAAGTGCTGGTCAAAAATGGTGCAGAAGTCAATGCTGCAACTAAAGGGGGCTACACTCCTCTCCACATAGCCAGTCACTACGGACAGACAAACATGGTGAAGTTCCTCCTTCAGAATGGCGCTAATGTGGAATCGACGACATCTCTGAACTATACACCTCTTCATCAAGCTGCTCAACAAGGCCATGCGAATATTGTCAACATACTTCTGGAGAACAATGCTGATCCTAATGCAGTGACAACGGTGAGTAGGAATACAATGTATCATTTTAAAAACTTAACACTTTCTGTATTTCGGCTCATACAATAAATATAAAAATATGCAAAAATGCGTCCAACTATTTCCAAGGGGGCATTTTGTAGGCTTAAAATTTTGAAGGGAATAGAATCTCATTTTGAGTATCATTCAGCTTCCTTTTCAAAAACACCCTCACTTGACCATTCTTTTCAGTAGTTCGCGTTTGTTGAAGAGTTGCCACTAATTTGGTCTTTCTATTTTGCCACATTTTATTTATCAAATCATTCTGAACAAAAGTGTTGACACTACATAACAGAGAACTGAAATTATTTTATTTCAATGGGAAATGTCGAAAATTAGTGAGAAGAACGGCTATAATGTTCAACGCCTTCAGCTAACAGTGGAGGAGATACGCCTTCAAAGAGAAAGAATGTGGAAGTATTTGCCTAGAATATTAAACCTCAAAGTATCAACTAACTGATAAGTGGCAACATTGGCAAAAATTAAGACGATTATCACCAATGACTTCTCTTCAAATTCTTTGAACTTTTGTCGGTAAAAATCATGTCAAAAAATAGTCATTCTTTACTGTAAGTATGCCTTGATGGGGACGGGATGATCTGAATTCAGGTACAATATTGGTTATCATTGACTAGGAAAAAGTTATTAGAGCCCAATTGTTGAATTGATATTATTTATTCCTAGATGAATATTCACCTAAAAAATATTTCTTTACAAGTAACTATCTGAATATAACTGGAGTTTTTTCCCAACACCAAATCGCTATTTTTAACACCTCGACACCTGTTTCGATCACCAAGTGATTATCTTCAAGAGGAAGATTAATCTGGAAACTATCGCGAAACTAACGCTATTTCTGCTATATAGATATAACCTATATATAGCAAAATTGTAAAATTAATTTAGGGTGGTATACCTGTATGGGTGGTACACCTGTTGACCTGTAGGGTATATCTATATAGCATAAATAGCGATAGCTTCGCAATAGTTTCTAGTTTAATCTTCCTCTGGAAAATGATCACTTGGTGATCGAAACACGTGTCGAAGTGTTAAAAATAGCGATTTGGTGTTGGGAAAAAACTCCAGTTATATTCATTACTACACCAAAGTTCCAAACAGTGCATCATAATTCAATTATTCACTTACATGAAAATTCCTGTATATCTATTAAGTTTTTTTTTTAGTAAGTTAATGAATTCTAAACAGAAAATGTCATGACGCCTTTTCTTAAAAAACAAAAAATAAATTCAAAGAAGCACTTTTCCTAACTTAAAACCTTATTGGTTGACGTACTCATACAGTGGCCACTTAAGTCACTAGACCTTATCTAACTGATTAACTTCTTGTGGGGTCATCTTAAGTACCAGAGGTACGATAAATATTGATGCTTCAAAGACTATGGTAAGAAAAAAATATCGATTAGGTAAATGGTAGGATCATATTAAAGACAGTTCGAGCATTTGAGAAAAACGTGCAAACAGCAAGCGTTTAGAACAAAGGGATGGTATATGCAAACATCTTAGAAAACATTGTCAATGCAATTTGTACCATGCATATAACCTCATTGATTCGTATCCTAGAAAAAGGTTCCTAGTTGCTTTTTCGCTTAAGAATTGATATTGTTCCTAAAAAAATAGAATATACAGGAGTTCATATTTTCAAAAAGAAATTAATTTTTATTGAAACTCGAAAATATGATTTGCAATATTATTTTTGTATTTCTGGACACTTTATTTGGATATCACATATTATCGCAAATAAAAGATGATATCAAAAAAATCTCCAGAACCGTTTTTATGATAGAAATGGGTAACTGAAATGGCATAAAAGAAAACACAGAACAATCAACCCCTTAGTCCCCATCTATCACAACTGAAAGCATTGAAATGTCTATAAAAATGCACGTCCATGATATACTTGTAAATAATATAGAGGGGAAACAAGTACAGCTGAGGCACCACTCAATCTAATAATAACACTGATGATCTTCAAAGAAGACTAAACCTCTGACGGAAGTAAGAAACTCTTCGGAAGATTCGAAATAGATGAACATTTCAATCTAGCAGACCACTATTATACTATTCATGCAGCCATTGTTGACTGTGGTTCTGGCGTTGAATTTGGTCAAAGACGAAACGGACTGGTTTAAGTTTGATGATAGTCGTGTCACGAAGTGTTCTGGCGATATATTGAATTTATTGGAGCCTCTGGGGACACCCTACATTCAGTTTTATGAGAGAAAAGACATTGGCAAATCAAGATCTTCAGAAAATGTGGTGCTACAGGTTTTTCCGGGTTTTCCTGCAGCTGAAAAAGCAAATGCGCGACTGGAATCAGTGAAGTCGCCCCGGAGCGCCAATTAATTTTAATTGTTGTTGTTGTTGTTGTTTTATAATTAGTAAGGCAAAAAAAATAATTCTGAAATCTTTATCAATTGGTTAATTGAAAAATGAAGTTTTATAGAACTATAAATTTATTGAAAATGGCATTCAGTCAAATATTCGAAAGGGTTCGGTCGTTTTGTAACCAATAACATAGCTTATTTTCATTTTCGACAACAACTTTAAAAATTTTGTACTGGTAATAGAGTTACATGGTTGGCAAAATATTTTCTCCGAAATTTCCCGAATGACGCAGGTTGGTTTTATGAACAACTGACTTGAGATAACCTTATTGAAAAAAAACTGGTGGCGTTAAGTCTGGTGACCTCAATGAATAAGTAATATATCTTTTTCCAATCCATTACTCAAACAGTGTAACCACACGGTTTTGACTAAACTCAAGAAATTCACAACACAAACCGGGTCAACAGAAATAAGATGCAACACTCTCAGTGAACAGTTTGATAAAAAATAGACTAAAATATAAGCTATCATGGTTGTGACAGCAAAAACAATTACTACAATCACCGCATTCACTTATCAATAGAATTTCTCACAGCATTAGAAAAAAAACTCTCCATGAACATCCGAAAAAAATGATGCATGAAAACTGTACCTATGAACGAAGTACTTTTATGACAAAAAATAGCAGGAAATTTACATTCTGTGATTTCACTTCATATTTGATTTAATTATTATTTCAACAAAGTTATTATTAGTGATTACTTCTGTAAGCGTTTTTTAAAGAATATAATGGCATATAACTACTTTTGGCAGTTGACGTTGTTTTAGATTTTGCCAACTGAAATAATTTTTTTGCTGAAAAAAATAATGACCGATGTAGCCCATTCTGATTTGTTGAATTGTCACACTGTATATTGAATCATTTTTTCTCTTCCATCAAATTCTGGCTCACTTTTATCTATCAATACAAAAAAAATAGTGTATATCACAAAAATTTAATTATATGCGGCTCAGTGGTTTAGGTAAGATCTATTTTTGGTATAATACGAATTACAAATCAACACAAACAAGTATGCTGAGATCGGTGTCGTACATGACCTACTATCGTGGATGAATTGCTATCAAGGCCTAAACACAATTAGGTGTATTCAGTTAACAGTAATTACGAGGAATTTCTATTAAAATGTCTGTCGTAATGTTCCTGACAGAATTTTTCACTTGGATGACACAAATAATTGATATTCTATTTATTATAACTTATTGAAAATATAATTACGGGTAACTTTCAAAATAGCCCCAAATAGTAAGGAAAATCGCTAAAGGTTATAAAGTCTCGTTTTCTGTTTCTTGAATAATCGCGACTTCATACATTCGAAGTATATCTTACTTTTCCATCCAATTTCTTCATTACTTCACAATTTCACACAGTTCACAAGAGTATGAAAACATATGGAGTGATCTATTGATACCTTTTCAGCGAAACCAGAAATACCACCAACATTTTTGGGAAAAAAAAGTGTAAATCTTCCAAAGAAAGGAAGGAAGCAATCAATTTTGAAAGTAGAAACTCTGTACATGGATAGATCATGCATAGAAGTAACTTTCAGACACAAACTGGAAGAGAAAGCCCTTCTGAAATAACTACTTTCATATAAACAATGAATTACACGAAAGAAAAATTATTTCGAAACAAATACTTTCATATAAACAATGAATTACACGAAAGAAAAATTATTTCGAAACAAATACTTTCATATGAACACTGAATTATACAGAAAACACTTTTCTCTACTCAGTTTGTATTCCAAACATTCGTTATGGAATAAAATCAGATACAATATATATATTGTACGAACCAATATATTGAACGAATGATTAAATTTCACTTAAATGGAACACTGTCATCCTCACTGGTAGACATCGATGTTTTGCCATGAGACATCTGCCTTAGAGCACTTCGGTATCAATCTGGATAATATTATTGAAGAATTGTGTGGTTTTTTCACATAATATTAACTTGAATGGTACTGAGGAGCCCTAAGGCAAGTATCTTATGGCAAAATATCAATGTCTACCAGTGGAGATGACAGTGTTTCATGTAAATGAAATTTTACCATTCATTTCTTATATTGGGTGGAACTCCTGTGAATGATATCTGATTTTATTCCATAACGAATGTTTGGAATACAAACTGAGTAGAGAAAATTGTCTTCTGTAGAATTCAGTGTTCATATAAAAGTATTCGTTTCGAAAGAATTTTTCTTTCATGTAATTCAATATTTACATGAAAGTAGTTGTTTCAGGAGGGTTATTTCTTCCAGTTTGTGTCTGAAAGTTACTTCTTTGTATGAACTACACATCTGTGTATATACTTCATTTTGAAATTGATTAATTTCCTCCTTTTTTCTAAAACTTTATACATTTCATGAAAGAAAATTTGTGAATACATTGTGCGATAGAGCACAGGATGAGCTCAAATCAATAGAAAGGAATCAAGAGCAAACTAAACCTCTCTGAAGAGGTGAAATACCTTGGTACTGGCCTTGACAGGAAGCTAACATGGAACTGCAAGCAACGGCCATTCAAAAAGTATATCAAATAAAGCGATTGGCTTGTTTAAACATCACAGGAGCCATGAGAACAACACCAATGAAATCAATTACTGGTCTGACTCCTCTGAACCTGTACGTTAAGTAGATTGCTTTAATGGCCATTTTACGATTGCGCACGGCTGGTGTGAACCTCGAAGTAGAAATGGGCCAATTGAGGCTAAGCCTATGGCGAGAAGCGCTTACTGCGCAACCTCTGCTGCAGGCAGCCAGTGATGCAATTGAACCCAGGGTTGTGTTTAATAAACCCTACAAAATACAAATAAAAGATAATACATATGCAATACGCATATATACAGACGGCTAAAAAACCAAAGAAAGCTCAAGATGTGGAGTTTACTCTAGATCACTAAGCCTAAAGATTAAGTGAGGAATGGGAAAAATACCAGAGTGGTTCAAACAGAACTGGCTAGTATCTGCATCGCCACAGAAGAAATAACCAGGAAAGGAATTTCTGGCAGAAACATAACAATCTGTACTGATAGTAGACAAGCTCTATTAGCCTTGAACATACAACGTGTTACCTCAGGGCTACTACTAGACTGCCACCAAGATTTATCCAAAGCCTCGGTAGAAAATAAAATTATCCTGAGATGGGTTAGAAGGCACGACAGAAGTAAAGGTAATCGTATTGGCGACTCTTCAGCCAAGGGAGCGGCTGGACTAAGAATTTCAGGATTCAGTAACACCTACGCCCTGATGACTCCGATAATTGCGGAACTAGATAAACGTCCCAGCCATGCTCAATCCCCAAAGAGATGGAATCAAATGGTGCAGTTTTGATAGGATCACCCTGGACGACCCTGGAAAGCTGGCGCTGAAGAAATATCTGGCGATGACCAGAAAAAACCTACGCTTGAAAGTAGGATTTCTAACTGGCCACTGTCAGTTAAGGAAACACCTCCATATTATGGGGCTAGTGGACACACATCTATACAGGATGTGTGAACAGGAAGATGAAACTGTCAGGCATGTCTTATGTGAGCGTCCGGAGTTATCGTCTACAGGAGAGTGTGTGTTCAGCCAGTTTTGGCCTACACCTGCCTATATAAAGGAGATATTTTCTAGTGACCTGTCCGACTTCGTGAAAAGGACAGGATGGACAATGACCTAGGGAGGATGTACAATGGGTCACATGTGGCCTAAGTGCTCTGGGCCTACACTCATCCTCCCTACTCTACAGAAACAGATATGGAAGTAGATGGAGAAATAGATAGCCAAAATTTTTTTTCCCAAAAATAAATCTCGCCCAAAAATATACCCTCTTCAATTTATATTGTATATGATTTTCCAATAATTTTCCATCCCCCAAAGAACTATTCTAGTACCTATTCGTAGTACTTACAAATACTTTATTCGAATCAGATGCATGCAAATGAGTATTTCGTGAGAGAAAAGTAAATGAATTATTTCAAAATATTGCCAATATAGATTTTTCATTGATTCGTTATTCTGATGACAATGTTTATGAGGCAATATTAACGACTCAAGTCAAATATGGCAGTACGCTTGCAAATATTTCAAACAAAACTTGAGGTGAATGGGGAATGTTCCTCAATTTGGGTTATTACAGCAAATGCAAGTTTGAACAAAATAAAGTTGAGTTCAATTTATGAGTTTTTCAAATTCACTTCGAAAAGTATTTAAGTTGATGTTTCAAATTTTGGGTTTAAATTTTTGAAGGGTTTCGTTTCTAATTCACATATTGGCAACAGCGCCTATATCAAGTTGAAATAATTTATACGTATCTAGATATTCTACTTTAAAAAAGGAAAATAATCTTTATAAATCAACAATTGAGGTGAAATATAAATTGAAGTTCAATACCACCTCCACAAGCCACATAAATAACAGTTGTTTTGTTATTTATTTATATAGAGGAAGATAGGTACGGTGCACAAAATGTCATATGTCACAGAATGTCTGAAATGTGTCATCTTTGTTTGTCTCATCTAGCTAACAGATTCATTGTCCTTCATTATCTATAATCAATGTTGTCAAATGATGAAATAGAAACGAACCCCTTTAAATGTTGAATACATTATTTCATTCTTTTTTTTTTTAATTATTTGAATAATTTTTCAAAGAAAAAAGTTGAAATGAAAAGTTTGAAATGCGTTGTTTTAGAGCTCCTTCATGAAAACTACTTGATTTTTATCAGGAGGAACATTCATCATTCATTAAGTATATTTCGATGTAAAAATGAATGGAAATGTTTCATTTTTTGATTTGTGAAGTTTATACACTGTCTGTTCATGAAATAAGGAGAATTTTAATTTTTCTCAAAAAAATATTCATTTATTTGAATTTATTGGAGCCTCTGGAGACACCCTACATTTTGTTTTATGAGAGAGAGGACATTGTTAGATCAAGATCTTCAGATGATGTGGTGCTGCAGATTTTTCCGGGTTTTCCTGCAGCTGAAAAAGCAAATGCGCCACTGGAATCAATGAAGTCGCCCCGGAGCGCCAATTAATTTTTATTGTTGTATTTATTTTATTTTTATCGTTGTTTCAACACATTGTGATAATCCAGAATAATTTATTAATCAATTTTTATTTTGTTCCCTTCAATGTATAGTCCCTCTCAGATATAATACTCTTGTGCCAGCGTTTTTACTGGCCTGAACAAATTGTTCTTTCAGTTGATTTGCAGAATGTCATCTTGATTTCCTTCAGGTTTGGAGACCAGCTCCCCTACCCTTTTGACTAAATGTTGGTCTTGAGAGGGACCAATGGGCTCATGACTGATTGATGACGGCATGAAGTCCTTAGACATCAGTGCCGCCCTTCACGGGATACCCCTACCTGGCTGGGGTGGGATGGATGAAAAAATTATGTTGTGTACTATGTTATTCATCCGTTAACGGGGCACATGGGGGCCTCATTCGACAGAGTGTCGGGGCCTTCTATATCGGAAGGGGTCTTCTACAGCATAATCTGTGGCTTCCCTAACTAACTTGTTGATTTGATTCACAGCAAGTCTTCAAGTATGCCCACTGAATATATGCGCATACTTTTTAGATATTGATTTTCAACTATCCTATAACAAAGACGAAAAATCACTCACTTTCCAAGAAAATTACTCAGTTTCATATTTCATCTTTCAACAAACAATATCATTCCACCCATTTTGATAAACACCATTTGTCAAGCTGACAAAATAGTGGTGAATGTAGAAACTCTGATCGATATTTTATTTTTCAGAGTGGTCAAACTCCGCTGAACATCGCCCAGAAACTAGGATACATCACTGTCATCGAAACCCTTAAAGTTGTGACGACAGTGACAACAATCACAACAACAACGACAACCAATATTGAAGAGAAATACAAAGTGCAGGCACCGGAGCTGATGCACGAGACCTTCATGTCCGATTCCGAGGAGGAAGGTGGTAAGGCTTCAGAATTATTCATAGTTACGCTATTTGTTGGCTGCTTGTTTTGCATTTACATGGGGAGAATTCTCAAAATATCATAGTTACATTCAACGAATGAAAAATATAATGGGTTTGTAATTGATGAAATAACTAGCTCCAGTAGCAAATTGGCATTTTCCATCAATTCACACATTATTTGAATTATATAAATCAAGA